TATATATATATATATATATAATGTGTATACCAAAAACTAATACTAAAGCAGAATCAGTCACTTAAAAGTGAGACTGAAGGTTTCCTATGCCCCTTTAATGTAGCTTACATGTCTAAATAGCACACTTTGGGCAGTTGGAACCTATCAAAAATGATAAAAAAATCATTGCCTAACTATAGCTCATAATGCAGAGAGAAAGGCCGATGAAGCTGTGAGACAACAGGAAATTTTATAAAGGTCTAGATCTCTCATCTTCTAACTCGTGTGATTTGTCTACGTGTTTTTGTAAGTGATAAAAACTACCATTTACAAACTCCTTGTTCTGGATACAGCAGAATGTGAACTTGAAAGGGCTGGCTTTAGGAACGAGCAAGAACCACAGCTCTATAGGACAGCCAGGAAGCAATTTAAGCCATTACAATGTGAGGACAGGGTCTCCATAAACATAATGCCCTACATGGGCAAGCAGAGGAGATGCTTTGGAAACATGGACTATTCAAATGTTTTTTGTAACAAAGCTACCCACACGTTATACCAAATTTCATATTCTTTGCTCAGCAGATGGGTTTCCTGTGGAAACTGGACTCATTGGGAAATCACTAATGCAAATCACTAATGCAGGTGACAAGCCTGCAGAAGTCTCAGCCCTGGAGGAAGGGTGTGGTATCAGCCAGGAACAGCACTTACTGGTTTGCTCTTGTTAAAGAGGCCTAAGAACAAAATTAAACTGAACCATTTGATAGTCCTGCCCTAGCCGAAGTTAGTTCCAAGTACATACAGACCTGACTCCCTTGTGTGGCAGGTCCCTTATGGAAGATTAAGTTACCACCTAGTAAACATGGATGTTTACTATTTTATGTTTATTATAATAAAAGATTTAAGTTTTTAAAATAAACAGCACATAGACTATAAAAGCTAGCTGGCAACTAGTTAATTGCAAAGAGCCTGCAGTCTAGAAGCTGCATCTAAGCTGGTTAGATACTTGAAAACAAGGAGGGGTGTCCCCAAGAAGGCTGTGCAGAATGTCATTAGCCCTGGAGCCACGGTGTGCCTTCTAACCTGGGAATGGTCGTGAGCAGGTGGAAGAGGCTGCCTTCCGAAGGAAATGCAGAAGACTGCCTGTTCTATGTTTTCTCTCTCTTTCTGAATCACCCTGCACTCAACATACTGGTTTTGGGAGTCTGGCTTGGAGCCCTTTGCCACCCTAGGAGGTGAGGGTCTCGTACAACCGCTCAGAGGGTGATGGTGAGCAGGAAGAAAGGGCAGAAATGGATTCTGAGGTCATATACCGTAAGCCCAGCTCAATTCCCAACTTCAGCTCCTGCGAGAGCCATGCTGGCAGCCTGCATGCCTGCCCAGAGCACTGCCTGCTGAAGGATGAGCTGGGCTCCTGGCCATTCCATGATTTTGGTAAGCTGACAGAATCTTCCCTAGGAAAAAGGGAAACAGAAGGGTGCCCATGGCTCCTCAGGTACTTCCTGAGAAATTTTACTACTTCCAATTAAAAAATTCCTGCCCCAGACCTCACTTCTTTCTAGCCCTTGCTCTGCCTTCTGCAAACAGGACTGTTTTAAACCCAATTAGATTTGTGATCCAGTTCATGCAGTGGCCCCAGTAACAGTTGCACCAGCACAATGAATTGGTACTGGGGTGGAAACAAGTGGCTGGGAGGAGAGCGAGCTTCAGGAATTACTTGAGCTGCCAGAAAAACCACCCACGGAACAATGGCCTCAGGTAAACATGGAATTTCACTGGATATATACAGAACTTGTAGGCCTGAAGGGGTTCTTTCCACCAAGTAGCCAAAATTTTTTAAAAGACAAAGAGGTCCTCCAAGAAAAGAAAGTCACAAGAAATCTTTTTAAAGGAACGTATTTTAGGTAACATAAATACAGAGATCAGTATGAAATGTTTTACAGTATCTTCCCAGTTTGCTGCTGGTTTTACATAAATGGGTATCACTGGCTTATTGGGAGTCCTACTTTTGGTAATTTCTAGGAACAGAACTAGCATTACTTTAGAAATGCATTATATAAATGGCAGATCTATGTGGTTGCGATGTATAAATACGTATCAACTCCTACATTGCTGAAGAGGGGAAAAAAAGTTGAAATCACATTTCACAGTGGCAGTGGGGGGGAAGGACATTTTTCTGTATTTCATCACATGTTCTAAAGCACAGCAACACTCCCTACCACTCCTCAAAATTGGTAACTGCTGCAGTGAACTGCTCTTCATTCCTCTGCTGATCTTGGGACTACTCTTAGCTACTTACTCTTGCAACATTACTTGCTGGGGAGACAATGAGGTCATCACTGGAGGTGACATTTGTTCAGGATAGAAGTCAGTCTTCGATGGTTCACTTCCTGGCTCTACTTTGATTGTTTTCTTCAGTGTAGGTTTCTCATAAGACTCAATGACAGGCACTGTAGGGGGGAGCGTAGGAGAGGGAATGCAACACAACAAAAATATGGAGAGTTATGGAAAAAGAAAATATACGTAAAAATCTGTATTTAAAACAAAAGAAATCCCCCAGCTCTATATTTAGTGCAACGATTTATGTTAAAATACAAAATCTTCCAGTTTTAGTCTATCTCCTGATGAACTATGATTTAAAACAATTCTATTCATCATTCCAAGATTTTTATCAGTCCACATCTCAGTAAACAGCTTTATGCAGGTATAAATCAGAACAGAATACAACCTTGGTTAGTTTGGTAAAATATTTACACAGTAAATTCTTTGCCTGCATATTTTAGAAGAACAGGAATTATGTTCCATTTCCTAAAATGTGAAAAACACACAAAAAAGTGCTTGGACATACAGTTATTTTCCCAGGATGAGACAGCATAAAAAAGAAACTCTGACAACACCAACCTTGCATGCTACTTGGAGTTTCCATCTCATCAGCAAGAACTGTGGACACCATGATGGGCTGCTGAAGATGGGGAGCATACATAAAAGGAACTGGCTGGACCACAACAGGCTGTATAACTGGGAGTATTCCAGGGCTTCTCAGTCCGTGGCGTGAAAGAGCAGCAGCCATTACAGGTGGGATTGTTATTGGCATGGAGATGGGCTGTACTCCTGGGGGCGATGGTGTGAATTTACTGAGAGGTGAGCTGGGTGAGGACAGAGTCAATCCAGGTGAAGTTCTCCTAGGCACAGTCTGAAATTTTAGGGGGGAAGGAGAACTTCCAGTTGAAGGTGGTGAGCTCCGTTTGTTCACCGTAAGGTCTACTGGTTCCATTTGGATTCCGTTTGATAGTCCTTCGGGGTTTGAGTAGAATTTATTGTGCAACATACTCGGTGTAGAATAAATGACGCTGTATTTGTTTGGCTTCATTTGGTCCATGTAATTGGACGGGTATGACTGTCAGAAGGAGTGGAAAAAAAATAAAGAAAATCAAATCATAAATCAACACACACACAATTACTGCTGAAAAAGAAAGGCGGCTAATAAAACTGAGGCAAAATGAAAAAGTTTCAAGAAAGCACTTTAATGTGCTTTCTAAATAAAAATGAATTAAATAAAGCCTAAGATTTTACTCAAAGGAAGTTGTTCAAGTACTGATTCACTGTTTCAGAAGCAATGTAAAACAGATGATAACAAATCCTCAAGGCTTATTCACTTCTTTTCTCCCTTAAAAACTGCTCTTCATATGCTACGCTGCACATAACTGGCCTGGGAGATACATGGTGCTATACCCAGCATATAACTATATATTGAGGAACATCAAGTCAAGCAAGAGCGGAGTTAAATTGGACTTAGAATTGCAAGTAATGGGTCCCAATAAACTGCTTAAGTAATTGGAAAACAATCATCACTACAGTAAGAAATGATGTATCTGAACCCTACAAGCAATAAAAGATACACAGCTGAACTATATAAGCAAAGGGTAAGAAACTCAAGAGCGCAAAAGGTAGATTCTAAACTTTTTTTTTTTTTTGAGAAATAAAGCAGCTAACTAGCCAGTCTGGTTTTGGAAAACTAGTACAAGGATAAACATTTGGTGTGTTGGAAGAATATTCCTGTTAGCGGTAGCTAGCAGTTCTCATTACAAGATCATATAAACCCCAAAGCTAATCTTGACCTACGTGATGATCTCCACATTTTAGCGGAAGTAATTTTTGTAAACCAAGAAGTATTAACATTCATTGCAGAGTATAGTATTATTAAACTACTACCCAGATCAATTTTGCATTTAAAAAGTGTTGAAAACTGAGGTTCTTTACTAACAGATAACTTAAAATGGAAACTAACACGATGCTCTAACATAGCAGATAGACATAGAAAATGCCATCCACACAATTGTTTACCCCTTAGATGTTGTAAACTTTTTGAAATAAAATGCTATCTTTGGATTCTAGGTAAGTAAAGCTTCACATTAAGGCTAAGCAGTTTCACACTAACATTAAAAAACTGCTGAATTCTTTGGCACCAAAAAGACTTTGATGAGTGGGATTTAAAAATGTTCAAAATGGTAGAAAGCGAAACAGATTAGAAGTATAAAAACTACTGTATTTTTATACAATCATTTCCATGACATTTCAATTATTTTTTTCTTGGGGTGAAAACTTCTAGCAATACATCTTCCTGGTTTCTTACCTCTGTCTTCCCTGTGAGGGACAGTTAGTTGATTTTAAATGTCAACGTTAACTAAAAGTATTTTTGCAAAATGACACAAATGTATTTTTCTTCTTTTCAGTTACTGTTTGAAACAGTGAGTTTAGAAAATATTAGATTTTTCCTGCTGCATTCATAGCACTGATAAAACAACAAAGCTGAGTCACCTATTCCATAAAATACTTGAATAAAGCAGCATACACAATGATGATTAATCTTCAAACAGTAAATATTACATTAAAACCTCTGAAACTTTATTTATTCTCCTTATGACTATCCTTACAAATTCAATCTATAAAAACATTCACCTTCGATGGTAATTGGTTCCTCGGATTTCTATTAAAATGCCATTATTGCAAGCAGTGCTGGCTAAAACAAGTTGTGTAGATTTTCCACCACTGTTGAGCCAAGCGATGAAATTATTAGCATTCTAAGTAATGAAGGCCACTGAATATTGATAGACTTCAATGTTTAACAGTATTTAGTATCTACTAAATCTGATCAAGTCATGGGCATAGGCAAAAATTCAAAATTTAAACATGTAAGAGATATTAAGTACTTCTGTTAAAATTGCTGATATTGGTTCACAGTACAAAGTCTACTCAGCTTCAACAAACTGTAAACGTTGGACCACTAAGCATTAGTGCACTAACAGTGCTGCAGGTTTGTCAGGGGTGGTCACAAGGTCTCTACCTATGAACATTTCTTCCATTGCAAGAATACTAGAGAGGTAAAAGACTATGCAATTCAAATCTTAGGGAATGTTTTCGGTCAATGAGTCTATTAAAGAACGAAGCATCCCAAGCTGTAACCTTTCTATACAAACAGCTATCCCCTTTCCACTCTTCAAGTAACACCAGGTGTAGGTGTTGAAAAAATACCAAACTATTAAAATGTTGCACAGAGAACTGTAAACTGGAAAAGTTAAGTAAAATATATTTAGATGAGCAAGAAATACTTTCCAAGAATTAGGAAGAAAATAAGGATGTTTTTAAGAAGTGATTATTTTAGGGACTCGGTATTTTACCCTATATGCCTTGCATTATTTTGCATAGGCTTTCATTGTTGTAATTAAGCCGGCACAGATTTAACAGATATTTTTTCTGGCAGTTTGGGGAAGCTGAACCATTTTCCTAAACTATTCCTCTTTCTGTGATTTTAATTGCTATGTTTCTATCTGAACTGCAGATAAAGCTGTGATAGAAAAAAGTGGTGCAACAAATTATCTCTGTTGGGAAGGGTGAAAAAGTTGAGAAGGATGATAGAACAATGAAAAGGAGAGCTTCTGCTGTCAGTCAGACACTCTGTTTGGTGGAAAACAGTTTTGCTTCACTGTCAATGAAGTGTGGTTGAAATCCTGTTCATTTGGAGTAAGTGCCACTCGGATCTATCTCCTGGTTCTGAAGTTAAGCCTCCTGTATCTTTTAGCATAGCAAAGTTTCAGTTTCTAGCTCCCTGGGACACAGCAATTGCCATCAGGTTGATAAGAACCACTGCTTTCAAATTTGGTAAGTCACTTTCCCTTCCTTTGCCAGGGAAGCGGACGCCACCCCTTGGGGGATATGGGATGGGAGGGTAAGGAAGCCTTCGCAGTCTCTCTCTGTCAGCAGGGAGCATTAACAACAGCAAACAAACAAACAAACAAAAAGCCCAACTACTGCTGTTTGGCTTTCTAAATGCCACCAACTGCACGAAGCAGTAGTGCACTTCATAGCCTCCAAGAGCAGTCTTTTCCCACCTGTCCTAGAACTTATGCGAAGTATTCTGGTGGAACAATAGAAAATTAGGTATCACTGCTCCGTTTGCCTAAAATATTTAAGCTGATACGTTTTCCTTGGATTTCTACTGTGGGAATTAACAGCGTATGTAGGAGTTTGGTCTGACCTGGGTTGGAAAAAACCCAACAAATTCCCACCTTCCTGTAAATTCTGCTTTCCTAAACACTGTGCAGAATGGCATGGCACTACAGTAGATCACTATAAAGATGCAGGATTGTATTTCAACATATATTCCTTTACAGTCTCCATCTAGCTCTTTTATGTTTGATATCGTCACTCTCCCTCTTTGGACCTTACAAAGCAATTCATTTACCGTTCCTTGCTGTTTGTCCATAATAAAACCCAGAGCACTGAAGCCACAAAGAAACTCGAAAATAAATCAAAGGAACTTCCAATATTTTTGAGTCATATCCATGTGGCTCATACAATTAAATCAATAAATCCAAAAGGAGGATCACCACGCTTTTCCTCCTGACAATCTATCAGGAATAAAGACTGGCCAAATACGTCACAAGCACACCTATCTCCACCCAGACGACTGCTGCTTCCACAAAGGGACATTATCAAGCACTAATCTGATGTAATTTGCTAAATTCTGTTATACTGCCACAGTGAAACATCTTCTTTGTTGTACAGGCAAACAGATTTTGAAGCAATTCACTAAGTCTTTTATAAACTATGAATTTAACTTAAAAATTTAGCCAGCCTCTTGGAAAAACAGAAACAAGTGAAGAACCTGCTTTACCTACTTACACTATTTGTCAAATCAGTATCATGTAAGAGGATGAACAGGATTTAATTCAAATAGTACCTAATACACGAAAAGGCATTCTTACCACATGAAATTTGCGTTCCAGTACACTACTTAAGACCTCAACCCCTCATGTAGCACATCGCTATCTTTAAAAAGAGGTGAAACAAGTAGTTTTGGGACCGATGGAAGGGCAGAGAAAAACTGTTTATTTCAATTCAGAGAAAGATGGTAACACATAAAAAAGTAACTCTTTCATTAAACGGTCGCTGGTATTTGTCCAAATGTTTAAAAAGTTCTCACAGCAAATATTTAGGTAGGACTCGGATGACTTTGTCACTAGCTCATTAAGAACTAGCATAAAATATGTTCAATAATTCAATTCAATAACTAGCATGAGCTGTTGGTAGAGTGATGAAATATTGTGGGTGCAAGCTTCAGTTGTCTGAGAAGTATAGCTAACCCTTTCAGCCACACACCCTGAAATACAGTGGCGTCAAAACCATAATTTGTTTCCTTCTCCCACCCCAACTAATGCGATTTTTTAAAGACAGACTTTATACCTACGGACAGTGTATGCTCAGGTAAAATAACAAGTAATTCCTAAGGGACTTCATTTAGTTTGGCCTCTAATGATACGATGAGAATGACAGATACAATACAAATAAATCAGGATTTAAGAATTCTGAGTTATGTCAGCCTACAGTGAACTGAATGCTATGCTCAGCACCTCCAGATCTTTCCCTCCACCTTCCCAAAAGGTGGTCAAGAAAACTACCACACTCAGAGGCTGGCATCCTTTCCTGTGTTCTCTCCATACCATGATTCCTCCCTTTAGAGGTGCTTCCAGAGCAGTTTCTGCTGGGGAGCTGTGGCAGCAGGGCTCCAAGGCAGTTTCAAGACCAAGCAGCGCTGGGGAAGCCAGGACCTGGAGGGCTTGGGGCTAAACAGCCTGCGTGTGTACAGAAGCTGAAACACACAACACTCCTCAGCCCGAGGGAAACCAGAGTAATCTCCATGAGGGGAACCTCACTCCAAAAATGTCTTTTTCTCTGGACTTTCTGCTTTTCCTTTCCTGCTTTTTTTTTTTTTTTTTGTATTATGCAATAACGAAAAGGAAAGCATATAGATTTGGTAAAATGCTCTGAATAGTCTCTTAACGGCTGGTCAAAGTGATGACACTGAGTTACAAGAACACCCAAGATGAGTCCAGAGGTCCAACGCATGGAAGGTACAACACCTCTGAAAGGAGCATGTGGTATAGAATAAGCAGTATTTGGAACTACAGTCTTGAAATGCACTTGGCTCAGAAATGCTCCCTTGTTCTTCCCATTGCAGTTTTTCCTTCATCTGCCGTTCTGGGGAAGACTGCTCACTCCTCTCCTGGCCAGCCTGCTGAGGGACCGACCCTGTCCATTTGCAGAAGCACACAGCTGTCTGGGGCAGGATCTTGTGTCTCTTGTGCATCATCCCAAGCCACTGCAGAACCTTCCTTGGGAGATGAAGGCAGATGTGTACAAAGGACAGCCCACAGTGTCTCTATAGTGATCTTCTGTTATTCGTGTAATGACGCTTTTATTGTAAAAGTGGCCCATTTTCCACCTTTGATGGACACCATTAGATATCCTTAGATAACTGTAGATAATCACCACTAATCTTAATAAGGTTATGCAATAATTGTGATTGAAGTGACATGACAGACTGGCCAAAACTAAGGTTCTTTCTTGACCCAAATATTGGAATTTGTCGTACTTACACCCTCAGTGATAGATCAGCTAGTTTTCTACCATTGCTCTCAAATAAATAAATAAACCCCGTGAAAGTCAAACTACAATTTTAAAATGCATATAAAGTTAACTCTCAAAAAGTGTTAATACACTGAAGAAATCAGACTGCTTACAGATGCATTTAAATTGATGACAATTATTCTACATTTTATATAAAACAGGAAGCAAACTTTTCACTGAAAGATGCCATTCAGAGCATGAGTTTAACGCGCTCTAATTATGCACACTGACTTCACCCTTCTAATTGACCAGCCTTTCTAAGGGTGTGGTTTCATGTTACACTTAATCTGATCTTATTGCAGGCTACTGCTGAAAGGGGAGGTCCTGCTCCCTCGTCCTCCCCCCTCCCCTTGCTCTAGCACTGAGCAGCTGCAGAATGAGTCAGATCAGCTTCCTGATCTGACCAAAAAATAAGGGTATTTTTGGTTGGTTAGCAATTCCGACCATTCAATGAGCTGATCCAAAGGATCCACATCATTCCGTTGCCACACAATTGCTTCATGTCACACAAAGAAGACACAAAGCTGGAAAAAAGCCTGAACCTTCCCTTTCAGCAGCAGCCTGCAGTTGAATAGGTGAAGTATACATGAAACTGCTTCCTAAGGCCGTATTTCCCTGGCAGCCTAAATCATCACAATTCCCATGGTGCCCCTCCCAGCTACATGCTTCTCCTGCTCTTGCTCATCAGACTCTTCTCTGAGATGACTCTATGCACCAAGTTGATGGAAAATTAACCCAATCGAAAAGAAAACTCTCCCCTTCCCCTTTTTTCCCCATTCCTCCTCCACTGCCCTGGTTCTCATCTTTCACGTGGTAAGGTAATGCACCTGGCTTACCCAGCAAAAAGCCATTACTTTTTTGTCAGGATTAATATTCTGCTGTTTAAAGCGCAGAGTTAGCCCCAGGCATATGTTTTCAAGAGCAAGAGACAAATGGAAAAGGGGACAGCGAGCAGCTGTTCATTTAGTTCAAAGGTGTAACAGCGAAACCACAGGCTCTTGCCACTTCACTGTGAAGTCTGGCAACTTAATTTCAACCCACCTCCATCAGCAGCATGAGCTACAGAGATCATATTTGCACTGCAGTGGCTGAGGAGTACTTGGACGTTCTCTGCTCTGGGGATGGGAGGACCAGCAGAGGTAACGGGGCAGGTCACTTTAGGGGCAATAAATTCATTAACTACAGAAAAAGTTTTCCTAGAATGTAAATTTGATTTCCCTAAAATCAAAATATAACTTCACAGCCTTTCCTAGTCCAAAGCTTAGAGAAAACTTGGTATGAATTTAAACATGGAAAAACGATAAGAGTCATCACAAAGACTAAAATATTTTAAAAGTCTTACCACTGAAACAGGCTCCATGGCTTCTTGCTTGATAGGGACTGGGTCAAACATTAGCATCTTTTTTATTCACCTGTTCTGATGCCTCTGATGTCCTGGCCTGCAGGGGAAAGACAAGGTGTTAGAAAGCCACAGGAAACCCCCTAATCAACTTTGTGAACTGTAAGGAACTCACTATTTTGTCAGATTATGTGAATATTTATTGATCTCTAACATAGCTTCTTAAATATTTGACTGGGCTTCATTTAAATATTTCAGTTATTGTAAGTTTATCCTTTCCCAGTTGCTATCGAAACAAAGGGACAACTGCTCACTTCAATGAAACTTAATTTCAATTTTTATTGTGCATGTCAGCATACAAAGATCATGGAATTGTCACTTTCATTAGCTGTCACTAGTGTGTAAACACATCACAGTTTACACTATGCATTTCTCATCAGCATTATAACTTCAGAATAATCTTGTTTAGCTGATGACACAGTGAACTGATTCTGGAGAGGATCTCTCTTGTCCTGATAGGAAAGTCAAAACCTTCACATATAGTGACATTGAAATCAATGCAAAAGAAAGATTAAAATCCAGGGCTAATTTGAAGAGGTACATTCAACATGCTGCAATGACTTAACATAAAAAAAATACATCAGTTATTTCCCTGAGATAATGGATTTAGTGACAATTCAGCAACAATTTGTGCTAACCGTGCAAAAGAAAAGCACTTCAAAAAATCTGGTTGTATTCTGTGCAGCTTCAGTTGTTTTTTCTACAGACTGTTCAACTTCAGTTGTCCAATTCTAGCTTATCTCAAACTGCCTGAAATAAAAGTATTTAGCATAAAGGATGCCATAACTTAACCATCATACTACATATTTGCCATGGTCAACTTGGAAAGATGCTGTGAAGGAAAGGAGGAGATAACTCTCCTTGGGTAAGCCATAAGGGTACAGAGTAAAACCCAAGAGAGGCAAAGGAAAGTTGTTCTCAATGACATTTAGACGTTGGCAAGCTTTTATAAATCACTTGAGGTTATACGTTATATGACTGATGTTAAAGGAGCAAGTTCTGACCATACACTGTACAGTGCCCAGCCCTGCCTGGAAGCGGTATGACCTCTAAGATCCGAGAACAAACAAAAAAAGACACAAATTCAATTCTGACCAGTAGATGGCACTGGAAAGAAACGAATACAGCCAGACTACACCATCCAGACCATTTCACCTACTGTGGAAGTAGGCTAAAGGCTCAACAACAGATTTGTAGTTGGCGCTGGAAAATCCTCTCAGAAATTTAAATGAAAATTTTAAAATGTACCTGCTCAAATTAAAACAATTCTAATAAGCCTACACTAACGAACAAGCTTGCAATTCACTATCATGTGTGTTTATAGATAAAAAATTGTTAAGAGCTTGATGGCATGAGTTGTTACAAGTCTATCAGTAATTATTCAGGTACAGGAATACAGTTTTTAAACTATAATAATATAGTTTTTAAACTATTTCTGGAAATATATTACAACAGTGTACATTTTGAATAATGGAAACAAACAAGTATCAAAAGTAAATTAAAGTATCTTCATAATTCTTCCTACAGAAGTCAAGGTCCGACAAAACCAAATTGCAAAAAAAAGGAAACAAATAGAGCAGCTCAATGCAATTTCCAATTTAAACTTAGCATGTAGTTTTACTTTAGAAGCAGCTGTGCAAGATGGCACTATTTGCTAAAAGTTGTGATAATTTTGTGAATACTTTAAGTATGTTTGTGAGAAGGTTATTAACTATACTACTTTTCTTTGAATGGTTATCTTTTTCAGGTTTTTAGCATTTCACATAGCTAGAACTAACATTTCAGAAGACTCTCTTCCCAGAAATCTATCCACATATCTATGCATCACTCACACATGTTCCCACACATACATATGCATTGTGAAAACAGGAAAAAAGTCATACTTTTAAATATAAGAAATGTTTACAGTAAAATGTAGCATCTCAGACCACATATATAAGAATTTGGAACTGCTAGCTTTCAGGTTTCCAGAAACTTTCGATTTTTAGTTTATATGTGCATAGATGAAGTGTCACATCAATTTGTACTTTAGTGAAGGAAGAAAGGGAAGAGAAGGAAGAAGAAGGAAGGAGAAGGGAGAAGAAGGAAGAAGGAAGAAAGGAAGAAAGGAGGGAAGG